TGAGCCGTTTTAGGTAGGCGTGGTTAACTCTTAACTTTTATAAAGAATATCTCTTTGGATTTGAGACTTTAGTCTTTGCAACTTTACAGATCTTCTTTATGCACCAAGAGCTTGTAATACTCCAAAGAGAAAGGAAAAATTTAAATCGCATCATATGACCCCTTTAACTGATTTTAAAACCATGGGAGACCACAGACATGAAGACAGTTTCAACCGATTTTTAACCTTATAATCTTCTGGACGCGCACACTAGATGATTCGACCAGACCGCGAGACAGACCACACACTGAACGACTGATTGTAGGAACGATTTCACAGTGACCCGAGATCTCACGGAGACTTGTGAGATCAAACGTGACTAGAGACGAAAAACGCATAGAGGGCAATCGATGCTGTCAGCTGGCTCTCCTCGCGCGCGTTCTGTTGTACAGTGAAAAACACAATAGAAAAAAAGAATATGGGTTATGTTCTTTCTCAGTACTCTATTTTCGTAGCATTTTCGTGGCTGCCAAGTTTCAGCTATAGAAACTCACAACATTCGGTAGGTGACGCTTGCTCACTCTCATTGGCTATTGCGGCCGCTATAACGTCAGAGGCAGCGGGGATGCTCCGTTTCGATCGGAAGCAGTTCAATAATCGTAATGACGCCACACGAGAGGATTTTTTGGGGGGGACAAAATAAAACGTTTGCAACAATGAAGGCTACTAGGCTGCTATGAAGGTGGCCCTTGGGTTTGCTATAGTCCCAGGGCCCTGTGTGTTCTTAATCCGGGTCTGTACAGCCTCCAAAAATACAGTAAAATTGTGAAATAGTATTACAATTTAAAATAACTGTCTTCTAAATAAATATAATAATAATAACTTATTTCTATGGTGGCAACGCTGAATTTTCAGCAGCCATTATTCCCGTCTTCAGTGTCACATGATCCTTCAGAAATCATTTTAAAAGGCTGATTAGCTGCTCAATAAATATGTATTATTATTATTAATGTTGAAAACCTTTGTGCTTCTTAGTATTTTGTGGAAACTCTTTTTTTTTCAGGTTTATTGGACAAATATGAAGTTCAAAAGAACATCATTCTATTGAAATAGAAATTTGTAACGTTATAAATGTCTTTACTGTCAATAAGAGGAGGAAGCGCCCCCTGGTGTTCATGTTGAGCGCGCCTTGCTGCTGAGGAACCGCTAGGTGGGAATTATTCAGACATTCTCGCTGTACACTGGGAGCCACCGCAAGCACCAGAGCCATGTAAACAGAAGGCTGATTTCATAGATTTTGGCCTACAGGTTTTTAGGCAAAATCTGCAGGAATGGGCAAGCGAGATAATAGAGTGGTAAGTAAAGGTAGTTTACCAACTCGTATCGTATCGGCCTTTAAGCCGCAGTGCTAACGCGTCAAAACACTTAGCCAAACAGATTAGCCACGTCCACTTACAGAATGAATGAACACGGTTATTAGATATTGGATTTACATTGTTTTATGTTTACAGTCTGGCACAACTTGTAAAATGTTGGCATTGCTTAGATAGCATGCTAGATTGCTGGTATGGCTAATGCATGTGGCTATCTGGCTCAGACATGCTAACTCGGCTAGCACACATTCATCTTAAATGTTCTGTTATATAGAATGCTTGCTGCTGTATTTTTGGTGAGCATATATAAAATGTAATGCATAAGTAATTAAAAACTAATTTTCAGCCTAAGTGAAATTATGATAATTTGTAGTATACAGTTATTTTAGCAGTCTCCAAGTGAAACGTGGATGCTGAAGGATGTGTTTTTAAGCATGTTTTGTGATTGTTGATGATGTGCTGGCTGTATTATGAATGTTAATATCTGATTGTGTTTCAGGCATACTTGAACCCAATAGCTGCTGCCAGAGCCAGAGGACCTGTTCCCAACCATGGCACCACCATTCAGGATTATCTCAGCAGACCACGGCCATCATGGTATGGAGACATGATTATGATTCAAACTGAAGAATCGATAGTGGTTATATGTGATTTTAAGGTCTTATTTCTTTATGTGTATCTCTGTTTGTTCTGTATATCAGGGAGGAGGTAAAAGAACAACTGGAAAAGAAGAAGAAAGGCTCCAAAGCTCTGGCTGATTTTGAGGACAGAATGAACAAGGTAGGTTTTTTTTTTTTTTTTTACTAGATTCAGTGGATTTGCAATAGATTCAGATCTGCTTTGTGGATCATATGTGCTTTCACTCATTTTTCTCAGCGATGGAAGAAGGAACTGGAGAAAAACAGGGAGAAGGTACTTGGTGGAGGTGAAAAGAAAGAAAAAGACAAGCAGAAGGAAAAGAAAGAGGTAAGGGTTGATGTAGTAATCTGAGATCTCATTTATAAAACGCAAATACAGTCAGATTTTAGCCTACATTTTATGGATTTCGTCCCAAGTACTAAATCAGAAGTGAGGAATAAATAGGGATTTATAAAGGCAGAAGATGGCATGAAAATATTCCAGCTGAAGAGTATAGTGTACCAACACTGTAAAAAAAATCTGTGACATTTACGGTAAAATACCGGCAGCTGTGGTTGCCAGAACTTCACCGTAAAAAATATGGTAGCAACATTTTAGGTTTTACAGATATGTAAGATTAAACCCTAATGTACACATCTAATAAGAAAAAACGAAGAAGAAACATGTTATTTCAACAACAAAAAAACAAAATATGAAGTGTCATGCAGGGAATTCTGGGAGTGTCAATTTACAGTTTTTCTCTGTAAATTATACAATGGCTTTTTCTTTTTCACTTCCAAAAACTGTATTTTTAACAGTATTTTACTGTAAAATTACATTAAATGTTATTACATTTATTCACCGTATATAGTATGGAAACTTACTGTTAACCAGTTAACAGGTTTTTACTGTAGCATTTTTACAGTCTTTTACTGTTAAAATCACAATAATTTTTTACAGGGAACATTTTGCACTCAAATACCAGTAATAAAAAAATCCAACATCAGCTATGATAAATTGGCAATCACAATATGTATTTATTGTTATTATGGTTTGTTGTTATATTTAAAATTGGTCTATGATTTCCTGATATTTATCTTTGCTTTTTCCAGAAAAAGAAGGAGAAGAAAAAGTCCAGTAGGGTGAGGAGAGCTCTCCTTTTTCATATCCTGAGCAACTGTAAACCAGTAATTAATCAATAATGGAAAAGTGGAATATTGGTTTCAATTAATGTCCCAAACTAGAAGAGGGATTTGCATTTGTAGAGTATTTGGTATCCATCTGGCCTGTTATCCATGGGTCGGCAGATCAGTTTTAAGTGGCTTAAAATCGTAACAAATTCTGCTTTTGTTGTGTTTGGTCAAGCATTCCTCATCTTCCTCCTCCTCCTTATCGAATTCTGATTCCTCCTCCAGTTCCTCCTCAGACTCTGAAGATGTAAGTCTTGCTGATAATTAGAATTATATGTACATTATTTGCATGCATTAAAATGGCCATACCTTATCACTAAATATTCTCTGTCTGTTCTGCTGCCTTTTCAGGATGAAAAGAAAAATATGAAAAAGAAGAAAAAAAGAAAAAGATCCTCTACCCGGAAAGCGTCTGATGATTCTGACACAGAGTCAGAGACTGATAGCAGGGTATTGTTTGTTTATATCTGCAAGGAAAAACATTACATGGTTTAAAAGGATTGTTCCTGCCAGTCAAGGAAGTAGCTGGCTTAACTGAAACTAGCCACAACATATTATACATTATTCTAGATTTGCAGCTCTACTAGAAATTGCCATCTTTTGCCAAGTTGATTTGCCTCCATGAATATTAATTTCCAGTGCTGAATAAAATGAACATAAACGCTAAATTGCTGGTGATAATGAAGAGATATGTCAAGACTTGTGAGACTAAGTTTGATGTTCCTTATCTCTAGGAGTCATCCAAGAAAAAGAAGAAACTGGATGGAGAGAAAGACATGGTACTCAAGACTCATTTTATGACATTAAAGAAATAGATCACACCACAAAAGAACATTCACCCTCATGTCATTTCACACAATAGTGGAGTTTTTGAAGTTGTTTTTCACTTCAGTACAACTACAGTTCAAGTACCATATCTACCCCTTACTTTTCAAGCCTCAAGAATATGAGAGTGACAAATTTTTTTTTTTTTTTTCATATATGTATAAATATACACTACCATTCAAAAGTTTGGGGTCAGTAAGATTTTATAAAATTTTTTGAAATACCCAATACTTTTATTTAGGGCTGTCACTAATGATTATTTTGGTAATCGGTCGATTATTCTGACGATTAATTGAGTAAATCAGAATTTAAAAAAAAATAAAAATAGACATAAGCAAACTAAACTTTAAAATGACTTGAAATACATATATAATGACAATGAGGCAATAATAATAGGTTCAAATAAAATATTGAAAGCAAGTAATCATGTGGTTTTATTGAACAAAACCGTTAAAATACATAATGTAATATAATATGTAACATGTTATATAAAATGCATGCAGAGGGCGTCAGCAGCCTGACGATTGTTTACTACACTTTACAGCGCCATGTAATGTAATCCTTGTTTAATATTGACTCAACATTTAATTCAAATGTCCACTTAATCTTTAATAGTTGGCCACTTCTTTATGATAGAAATGCTACAGCCACTGTCATTTCTTGAACAAGAACATGAGGACATCAAAACATGCAAATTCAGAGCAAGGGTTTAAACTTTTATTTTAAAGTCGCGATGAACAGTTAGCCTATTTAGAAAGATAATGATGTACTCTTCTGTGTTGGCGTAGATTTATAAATGATTTACCTTATAAATCTGATAGAATGGTGCACATTGTTCCCAAATTAACATTATAAGCAACTCAGACTCACAGCATATGCAAAGATGGAGTTTGAGATGGTCCGTGCAAGTAAATGATAACTTTGTGTGGAGCAGCATTTACTGTGAATGGAGCACATAACCTACACGCATATAAATAAAGCGCATATTAAACCCGCTGTGCATAGAAATATATATCTATATATATATTTAATTTAATCGCAGTCTTTGTGAATTCACAATAGCACTATGCTTTATGATTTTTAAAAGGTTTTAATATTTCGTGCAGCCTTATAAAACGGTCTAATAATGCTTTTCATGGATTCTCATCCGTGGAATGCGCCACATCCAGTATTTTGCTGGTTAATCCACACAGGCAAAATGCAATCAAGGATTTTTTTTATATAATCGAGTACTCGAATTTAACCAAGGAATCGTGACAGAAGTGGACTGTAATAAGTGACCGTAAATACATTTATAATGTTACAAAAGATTTCGGTTTCTAACAAATGCTGTTCTTTTAAACTTTCTATTCATCAAAAAAAAGTATCATGGTTTCTACGAAAATATTAAGCAGCACAACTGTTATCAACATTGATAATAATAATAATAATTGTTTTTTTAGCAGCAAATCAGCATAATGATTTCTGAAAGATCATGTGACACTGGAGACTGGTGTAGTGGCTGCTGAAAATTCATTTTTACCATCACAGGAATACATTATATTTTAATATATTTTAAAATAGAAACAGTTATTTTTAGTTGCAATAATATTTCCCAATAATACTGTTTTTATTGTAATTTTGAACAAACAAATGCAGCCTTTGTGAGTGTAACACCGTGTCCACACCAGACGCGATGCGACAACGCAACACAACAGAATCGCTCAAATATCACAGCCATTCAGAAGCGCACTGCACTCCTAATGAAATGGGCAAGTTTATAATCTAATTCATAAATATTAAACCTTTTTAACATTATTAAAAGTACATACTGTGTGACTGATGCCATCTTTGTCATGGAAAACACTTGTTGGTTCACATTGAGTTCGCAGTTTTAACGTGTTTGCTTTAATTTATTTTCAAGATCTGAGAAAAACTATCTGTTGTTGCTTTCAGTATGGCAAAAAATGTCACACAATATGATATCCAAACTCACATTAGACACATTTAACGTTGAATAAAGCACATAATCAGTACCTGAGATTATCATTGTCATAGTTTTTATGTTGTTGTTCCAGCCGCAACCTCACAGAAACCGTTTAAAAATTAGAAACGTGTTGTCGTTGCAGCTGGTTAGGACAAAAACTCTGATTAACATGGAAAAGATACCTTTTATTGCGTGTCGCGGCGTTGCAGCACGTGTAGTTAGGGCACGGTGTAGGAGTCCTTTTTTTTAAAAACATTTAAAAATCATAGAGACCCCAAAATTTTAAACGGCAGTATATCGTATCATTTAAATATCATATATTTAATGTTTTTTGTTTGAAAGGATGAAAAGGACGGCCGAAGGAAGAGGAAAGCTGAAAGGAGTCACACAGAGTCCTCAGACGAGTCTGGTGTAGACAGAGATGTATGAGTGTGTTTAAAACCCTCTGTGACCTTAATATGTGTCATTAAATGGTTTTAGCGCAGCAAATACTGTGTGACATGCTAAACTCATCTGTGAATTTGTTTTTTTGTTTTTAGGCCGAGTCCAAAAAGAAAAAACGCAGTAGTGAAGAGGAGAAAATTACAGTAAGCCTTCCAGTGTCATAGTTAAAGTGGATTGTTTTTTGTCCATATGAGGGTGGAAATGACTGAACATGCTACCCGCATCACTCACAGAAATGTTATTCATAGTGGATTCGCTAAACAGAACTTCATAATGGCTGTTTTTAAAAAAGAAAAATCTATTTACAGGACAAGTCTAAGAAGAAAAAGAAAAAGAAGAAGCATAAGAAACACAGCAAAAAGAAAAAGAGGAAGACATCCGGCTCTGAGTTGGACTAAAGGACTAGTGAGTGTGGCGTCCTGCACAATAGGCAGCTGGAATTCGAGTGGGAATATAGACGGAGCTCTTGCCAGACTGTGGGGGGAAAAACATTAGATATTTGTCCCAGTGATTCTTAAAAGTGGGTGCTTCTTAGCACTGTGCGGCTTTGTGGCCGACTTGGATGAGAGGATCATTTGGCCGGGGAGTTATAAGGGGTTTGAGGTTCATTATGTCAGGTTTGTGTTTTTTTTTTTTTTAAGCAGATGATTCTCAGTCCAAATAAAGGTCATTTACACCACTGGCGGCCCTGTGTACAGTATGTTTTTGCTGATTTGGATCTGCATGAGAAATTCTGGTTTACAGGTTGTAATGGCGGCCGATTTGCAGTAAATATTTTTAGAAAATTAATGCTTCTGTTTTTCCCTATGAAACTGACAATGGTCTTTCTGTGATATTAGAACGAAGCAGAGTCTTCAGCGGCATGGCAAAACAACTGTATGTTGCCCAAGTTGTGAATGTGAGCTTGCACTTTGTTAATTGTAATGCAATAAAACACCACAAAAAAAGAAGGTAAAACTGCACAAAATTCAAATATACACTACCGTTCAAAAGTTTGGGGGTCGGTAAGAGTTGTAAATGTTTTCAAAAAGCTGCTAATGCTCACCAAGGCTGCATTTATATGATCAAAAATACAGTAAAAACAGTTCTATTGTAAAATATTAAGATTGTTAAAAATAACTTTTCTATTTGAATATATTTTAAAGCGTAATTTATTCCTGTGAAGGCAAATCTGAATTTTCAGCAGCCATTCTAATATGCTAATTTGGTGCTCAAGAAACATTTCTTAGTAATGTTGGAAAAAGTTTTGCTGCTTAATGTTTTTGTAAAAACTGTTTTTTTTGTTTTTTTTTCAGATGAATAGAAAGTTCAAAAGAGCACCATCATCTTTACTGACATGTTTGATCAATTTAATGTGTCCTTGCTGAATTTACCTATTAATTTCTCCAAACTTTTGAACAGTAGTGCTTATATATATTAATCCTATGATACATTAGTCTTAATCTGCCGTTTATGAGCATGGTTTATTAAACTTTTGGTTAGATAGTACTTCTGCACGTGACCTTTAGAAGTGCTATTTTAATACTAGCTGTGGACTTAAATTACACTTTTCATGTCAATTCGGGTATTTATCTCGAGCTTTGTTCCAAGTTTGTGTGTGATGACTCTGAAAAACATTGTTTTGTGTCTTAAGTCATGCATGGATTTAGGCGAAACTTTGCATGTCCATGCATTGTATGCCCCTGTGTCTGTCTGGGACTTGAATGTCAGTCTATGCTGGTTTCACACTTGTAGCTGTGTGTGTGTGTGTGTACCGCAACTGTTTAAGAGAACTTTCCTCTTGTGATCTGACACTGTGCTTAAGCAGTGTATATCTGCAGTGAATGTGTATCGGTGAGACTGTCTCTGGCCCTCAGGGTGACAGCAGTGTTTTGGAAGCTCAGCCAGGTGTATGTGTCCAAATGGCACGTGGGAGGGGCCTCAACTAGCTTCTCTCATTTCCCAGGCAAATACTGTCACCAGTTCCCTTTTCTTGTCGCACAGCTTCTAGAGATTATATAGCAGAAATGGAATGTGTTGGAGTCACTATGTTTCTGCTCATGTTCACCTTATTTCTAATCATTCCTGGTAAGATGTTTTTCATTAATTTTTGAATGAATGGAAGCAGTGATGTTACACACTAAAACTTTAAATATAATTTTTTTTTTTGTGAGGTTAAGCCAATGTGAGGTTAAGCCAATGAGAGAAAGTCCTCTGGCCCTCAGGGTGACAGCAGTGTTTTGGAAGCTCAGCCAGGTGTATGTGTCCAAATGGCACGTGGGAGGGGCCTCAACTAGCTTCTCTCATTTCCCAGGCAAATACTGTCACCAGTTCCCTTTTCTTGTCGCACAGCTTCTAGAGATTATATAGCAGGGAAGGAATGTGTTGGAGTCACTATGTTTCTGCTCATGTTCACCTTATTTCTAATCATTCCTGGTAAGATGTTTTTCATTAATTTTTGAATGAATGGAAGCAGTGATGTTACACACTAAAACTTTAAATATAATTTTTTTTTTTTTTGGCCAAAAATGTGAGGTTAAGCCAATGAGAGAAAGTCAATATTTTGGGATGTCATCTAATTAAATGCATTTCTAGAGTAAAATGTTTATTATTTAACCTGAAATGCCATTGAAAAATGTTGTGTACATATCTAAAGAAAAAGATGGAGAGATACTCTGGAAAACATGTCATTTAAATATTTTTTTGTAAATATTGTTGCTTTCTATTGACGACTTGAATTTCAGCAAAAACAACCTTCTCTCCACATTATTTCAAGTAGCAAGGTGGCACAGAACCTGAAAGAATAGAACTGTGGTTTTGTTTTAATTCTGAAACAGCGTGGCGCTTACTTCCTATTTTCACTTCCATATTGAAATTTTCAGTGGAATATATTCTCACTTTAACATCAGTTAGCAAACAAAGGTGTATATATATATATTGATATTTTAAAAACCTTGTCAAATATAATTTTAATAATTCAATGAGCATTTTTATATAAAAACATGGGATTTCATAAAAGATTTTATGGATTAAAAATGCTATTATTTTTTGTGCTAAATGAAATGTTGAACATTTTAACATAAGCACAATTTGTCCGCTATCATGATTGTAAAATTTCTGATGTCTTATTACAGTTTTCACAATTCTATTTCAGTCAACACACAAAATGTAAAATATATCTTAAAATATAATATAAAAAAAATATATATATATATACACACACACATTTTTTATTTTTAAAATGTTTTTAATTAATACAATTATGTAATACATTTCGAGATTAAGATGAGACATGACAAGACATACATATGACTCGTAGTCTTATGGCAGACACTTCCTACGTTTAGCTTTTTGTGTCACATGATGCTTTAAAAATACACAAACAAACATTCAAGGCTTAGTGGATTATTCACGGTCAGGCTTTTGTTCATTTTCCAGTCCACACATTTGTATGTGCATTTTGGTTGCATCATAAATGGCCGTAGTGGATTATCAAGGGGTATGAATAGTCTAATGTTTGCTTGTGTTTGGAGATGCGTAAGGAGTTGATTGTCTGCTTGTTGGTGTGAACAGCTCAATTCCTAATGCCTATTGTCGTGGTGGTGTAAGTGCACTGTTGCTATCCCCGCAATAATTCTCACCTCATTTGGAGACAATAAGACCAGATCAGGCCAAGCACAATTATTAGTGATGTATTCATAGCTTAGTGTGGCGTAAACACAGGCACGCTTTTTGCTTTCACCGAATCTGCCCTCTGGTCCTTTGTGCGTGCAATAGGTGCAATAGGGGGTGTCTTTATTTATGTGAACAGCTCAATTCCTAATGCCTATTGTCGTGGTGGTGTAAGTGCACTGTTGCTATCCCCGCAATAATTCTCACCTCATTTGGAGACAATAAGACCAGATCAGGCCAAGCACAATTATTAGTGATGTATTCATAGCTTAGTGTGGCGTAAACACAGGCACGCTTTTTGCTTCCACCGAATCTGCCCTCTGGTCCTTTGTGCGTGCAATAGGGGTGTCTTTATTTATTATTTAGTGCACAACACGAGCCACGCAGTTATCTATTGTAATGCACAACACTGGCTGTCAGCAGACCGGTAGAAGTGAGTAAAGGGGTGGAGATGGCCGTGTCCGGGTAGTTAAGGGGCCCAAGAGCAATAAAGGGGGAGGAGTATGAGACTGTTTACCTGCTTACTGCCTACCTGCCTGCTGCCACACGGCCTTGCCTAGCAACGTAATACAGATTAACAGCTTTCAGTTAAAGCAGGGCCTCCAGTCCACAGCCTACGTTCATTTCATCCATGCAAAAGAAATCTTATTCTTAAGTAAATGAGATACGACAAGAGTTCAGTAGAGTCCACGTTATCTTCACAGCATTATGGGAGCATTATTTTTGCAATCAGGTCTCCATGACTTCATGCAGTGTATGCGATTCCTGAGTGTTTGCTCACGGACCAGTACCGACAAATTAGAGAGAACTTGATGTTTGATCACTATCATTCTGAGAAGTTGGTCAATATTTGCTCACGCAGGTATAGGATCAAGCTGCGAGGGCAAAGGCAGTGGTGATTAAACTGCAGATCTGTGTGTATGAACTAATTAATGATGTGGATAAATCCAGTGTCATGCTGGAATTGCAGATTATGTGAGGGTAAGGTATGTCTTACTCTGCAAATTTCCTTTTGTATAGTTCATTTGAAGTGTCCAAGTGAACTGAAGGAGAAGGAAAATTGCTCAGATTAGCGACGGATTTAGATTAATGATTTAACCGGCAATGTCACTGTTAATGATAAACATTACAGGCTCTCATGTAGTACCGTTCTGCGTAAATGACCAAAAACATAAATATTGAGCACTCGAGGCCTGGGATGGTTTTGATGGTGTACATACAGAGGGTCTTCTCTGCTTTATGGACAGTTCTGTGTGTGTTGTCCCTTGTGAAAAAGAAGTGTGCTGTATTGAATGTTCACTTGTAGTGTACTTTACATATTAAAAGTATATTTTTAAAAACCTGTACTTGCAGATAATATAATATTAAGGAAATGAAAGGCTATGTAAATATACTTACATGACCGTTTCCTAACACACTTAAGTGCACTTTTAAAAAGTGCATTTTGTAATAATGTCAAATTAAAATCATTTATATTACAAATTTATGTTATGTTATGTTATAATTTTACCTGTAGTGTGTTAATAAATATTACATTTGAATTAATATATATACAACACAAGAGACAATAGTGCTGTCCCCAACCTAAAAGAGCAATGCAAGTTGTTAAGAGATTGTTATGTAATGGCATGTGAACTTGTAGTTGTACTCCTTATGCAGCAACTTGTTAGCATCAAGTGTTGCTAATGCACACAACGTTTTCAAACTTCACATTTTAACTATGACTGTGTGCAATTTATATTGTAGAACAAAATTGGTAATGAAAGTCTCTTTGAGTCCAGTGACCTTATTTTAACTATAATTTAAAAAACGCTATTCTAAAAATCTGTTTGAACTTCCTAATAGAATCCATGGTGACGTAGTTTTCCGTTTGGCCTACAAATGGACGTCATGAATGTATAGCTCTTTTAACATTACACAAAACTGTTTATATGTGTACATTTTACTTGTATTTTTTGACAGTACATTAAGCACCATTTAACACTCTCTTTTAAACAGGTACGGACTCTAAATGCATTGAATGCGTTTCACTGCAGCCCACACAGCATGGGAAAATGGGGGACCCGATGCTCCTCAAAGTTGAGACTCATTTTGATGTCCACAATGTGACGTTCCAGGGGTTCTGGTGCAAGATTAAGCCTAATAACACTCTTTTGGTCACTTTCAACAATATCAATGCCATCCCAAATCTGCGCCTAAAGAACAGTCCGGCACTCAGTTTGCCTGATGTCTCAATATATTTTGAACATCTGGATGAAGACACACAGGGGGAATATGAGCTGCAGATCAACATCATCTTCCCAGGAATTCCCAGTCCA